AATATTTTATCATCCTGATGACATAATTTGCAAATACTTGTTCATGAGTTCAGGACAAACCCTGCAACATAAAGCAGATGAAAATAAGAATTGAAGTTTTCAGAACAGTTCAGTTTGGAATGTTTCAATTTGAAATCTACCGAGCAACGTCGAGGAATGACAACATGAACCGCGTTCATAGTTTGCGATCTCAGCGACCCTGTGACTGCACGATCGTCCGACCGTACCATCGCACGGTCACTTTATGTGTAGCCACAATTACTGCTGTGGCTGTGTGATCGTGCAAGCACAGCAATGTCGCTGTCGTATGACCGTGCAGTCCCAGAATCTCTCAGATCACAATGCATACCTCAACTCTGAAAATTAGGCTTGATCCGCGGTTATAGGTTGCATTTGGTTGCAGCTTGACTGCTAAAGGAACATGTTTAGACCGAGTGATCGCGCGATGGCCAACGCTACGACGCGTACTGGTGGTCGTGATAATTATGGGCCACTCTCCCTTCAGCACTCTGCTTCAACTATCGTATCTGTTTCCAATGTGGTGCCGTTTCCATTGTTCAACACTCTTCTCTCACCTAATTTCTCATGAGACAATTGTGTCCGTGGGAATGCCTTTTACTCATTTTTTACATTTATTCAACCAATGACGTACCATGAGCGATGAAGGAAATAAAAACTTCCAAAACAGAAATAAGCATATGTTAGATCTCAGATCCCCTCCTCCCTCCCGCGAACGGCATCATGACATAGGCGACGTGGCCTGTTGCCGGTTGGAAGTTTCGATGCGAGATGCAGGATCCCACAGCGAAAACGTCTGCAGTACGACTGAAACAGCATATTCCAATGGGAGTGCGCGGCATCGTTAAATCACACGCACTCTTCTGAGGACATAGTGACTCCGAGATTCACCTATTCGCAAATCGGTGATTATGGCTAACGCTCTCGCTCGTAAAGCCGTAAGAAAACGATTCACTCTAAGAAATGCGACTGCGCGTTCTGTTGCGCTACCCCTTCACCCGTTGCCAAAAGTGGGACACACAGATTTTGAAAAAAAAAACAATACGTTTTAAGATCTTAAAATGACTCGAATTACGGTGAATTGAAGAAGACCACTTGTGATTCACTGACTCATTGCATAAATCCATCAAAGAAAACTAGGCAAAGCCAAACTAAAAGAGTTTTCTGTTTGAGGCGGCCGCAAACTACGTCAAGGCAGGGGATAGCTAATTTAAAATGTCTTGGCATATACTACCATGCCTATTGCGAACTTAAGTGAAACACAGCAGCTCCGGTGAAATGGCTTAGTAAGTAAGATTGAATTGGGAATATGACAGGTAAGTGTCGGCCTATTCTTGGTCGCGGTTCTTTGTTTCAAGAAGGAACACGTCTCCTTTGTATGAGTTTTTCTATGAAAAGACAGGACTGTATGCAGTGGCCGCAAGTGAGACTAGGTTAATCTCCAGTTTAAACTTGGGTTTCACGCGGCAAATCTATGGCTATCAGTCACAAGAACGATAATAGCCAACGCTGAATGCCGTTCACAGGTGGGGCAGATTCTCGATGGCCGTTATCGTTCAGACAATCGCCTTGAATTTTTCTAAAGACGTGTTAGTTTGCAATAAGTTGCAATTGTGTTAATGTGTTACATAGATAACAGCGAAAGTGCGCAGGAGGGAGCGATTTGATAATCACTTTATCTCACTATTATCAATGATCGTGAGATACGTTGGCCGAGTGTATGACGCAAGGGAGGTTGTGACAACAGATGTGTGAAAGCCGTGGGCCGCGAAAGTAGACATATCATATGGTATAGAATGATGGTTACGATGACCATTGAATAAGCTAAGGAATAGATCGCAATCGCAGTGGCGTTAAAGTATTATGGATATGCCATTTTCGAATCTGCTGTTGTCCACTATTTAAAAAACACGACTAGAATCCAAATAACTATTATTACGGCTAGAGTTTTTCTGCAAAAGATTGACAAACTAACACTATAAGGGGATTAGGCCGCCCAAGTTCGTTGGGAACTGGTGATGAACTGTTCTTGATACCGCTGCTGGAGCGACATCCAAAACGTTTGAGTGTTTGATCCACTGTAGGGTCATGAAGAGCATTTGACAGACCGCTTAATTGAGCACGACTTTGTCGAATTTGTTGTCGGTTTGGAACGAGAATGAGAGGTGGCTAGATGTGCACCAATGCAGTGCGATGCCGGCTTTTCCTTGCGCTTGGAAGGATTCAAGCGTCGATGCTAGCAAAATGGGCGCAGCGTTTTTTTTGGTTATAGAAGAAGCTAGAGCGCTGACGCCTAGTCAGATAAAGTGGTACTCAGCAAATTAGAGGCCTAGAGGTTGGCCTACACTACTGGTGATTAGTTCCTCATCGCACTGATGTACTGCGCACCTTGTTTATCTGCGCACGCTAAGCCCACGCGGGAGTCTTCTGAAGTTACAAATGTAACACTTATTCCTAAGACACTTCTTTGAGTGTATTGTATGTTGTATAGGTTTTATGCCGCATATCGCGAAGAAGTGATTGTGAGATCACGATATGAGCACTTCTTAGGAGGGAAGGAGTTCTGGAGGTGGGAGCCTAACCCCTTGGAATTAAGCCTAGAGGGGAGGTGGGAAGGACGCCAGATGAATCCTCCTCTCTCCAAACGCTTAATACTAAACGTTTCTAACGAAAGGCAATGTTGTTTTGGTTTTGAACGCGTTGGGCGCTCTCCACCAGGATATGCCCCCTAGTAAAATAGATCCCTAATAGATTACTACTGAAGTCAATTGAAAGTGAACTGAAAGTATCCTTATGATACGTACCTGTTGAACTGGAGGTGGAAATCCGTGAGCGGAACCGAAGGGGTTAGGAGGAGGCTGAAACGCCAAGGATGGTCCCGGAAAAGGGGGAATCGGTGCAGCTTGGCCGAATGCTGTGTCATACGGTTTGAAGGCGGACGATGGACCATTGTACTGTGCAGAGGATGGACCGTTGGAGTCGACTTTTGGAGTCGATGCCGAAACCTGGAAAAGTATAGATTCAGCACAACTACAGTGCACATATTAGTGCCAGTGCCAGTGGGTAGCGACCAGAACGCCTACCTACAGAACACTAAAATTTGCCACGAGTAAATCTAGTTGAAAGTGGGTCTAGGATTGTCCAAAAGATCATATGTGGCCATATCACGCCAGAAAGCGCCCTATCAACAACTGAGACGCCAAAAGTATCCAGTAAAGCCAACTGTACACCTCCGCGGTCGATCAATTGGCACTGGATTTGTCTTGGATATCAAGACACTCACTAAAAAATCGGCTAGCTCCTCGAATCATTTGACTGTTTAAAATCACATTCGAACAAGTATGATAACCACTTCTGGGTCTGCGTTCGCATTCTTGATGGGAGTAGGACCCAACAAACCCAAAAGGGACTAACAACAGCACATGCTTAATTTAGCTTAAGTGAATTATAAGAAGAATCGCTCATCTTCCCATGCAACTAACGCAACATCAATGAGCACGGAGTTGTTATTGTTTGTGCACATGCCCAAAACTTCGAGATTAACGAATAGCAATTTCTAAAGAGCAACCTCCTAGCGGTCAGAATAACTAATTTTAGCGCGTAGCTTCTCAGCTTGAGCTATGATGCAGCACACTGATGATGCACTACTCCCAACTTGGTTTGACAACATTTCAAACCCAATGCGTAACATACAATGTGAGCCTGTAACAAACCATGAGAATGAGTATCACATTGCTTGTTACACATTAAGTCAGCGCTTTGGGATAGAACAGTATTGAGCTTACAAAACTCCTGATTAATTTACTCGCATATTTTTGGAGCTCCAACATTTTGAACGTTGCATTTACAACATTACTTTTATTATGAATTCATGGGACAATACGACTTACGTTTCTACTGGGCGGAAAGCCATTGACCATCTGTGAATTTGGTGTTTGATTGGGCATAGTAGGAAATTGCGGAATTCCTGACGGTATCGATGTCGTTGGTGGGGCTTGGAATGCACTCCTCTGCGCTTCATTTCTGAAAAGTAAGATGCCTACGCCAATGATTTGTTTTCGATTTGAGAGCTTCACTGAAAATGAAATTCGGTCCGTTTTTCAATGCTTACGAGCCCTTCTATGATTAGCACGGGAATTGTGGAGTTCTTAGATGAATTGCAGCTGTAACACAGCGTTGATGGACGGGCAACTATTCTTGCGATCATGCTATGAACTGAAACGATGGTCGCACATTTTCTCACGGTGTTAGGCTGGTGTCAGAGTCCGCGATCCGTCGCAGGTTTCGCTGATTTTCGCGATTTGCGCGATTTCGCGCGACGGGTCACGGAAATCACAAGTGCCCGATCAATACTGCAAGGTGTTCTCCAATCCCGCCGCCTTCTGCTTGATAGTGATGGCTGAATGACGACTGCTCATGATTCCACTTGTTTCATATTCAGTGTTTCAAATGTTCACACACTTGCAATTTTTGCGATCCCGTCGCGCTCGCAGGTTTCGCGTAAATTGCGTGAATCGCGCAAATCGCGAAGTCTACGAAACGCGACGGATGGTGGACTCTGACACAGCCTTATGGACTGATGCGTACGTATGAAAATTGATAGACAACTGCTGCATACCCGTAAAGGAAAGGAAGCGGGATGGAAGAGCCATAATTTAGCGAATGAACACTGTTTAGAAAAAAGAGCGGTGATTAAGAACGCCCTCCAGCCACACTATACTGCCCCCCCCCCCTCCTCCCGTTCTTGCTGTTCTTAGCATTACATCAGCTCCACCAAACCAGGCCCCAAAAATTAGTCCAAGGGCCGTATGCTAAATGTTGGGTAGGGGACGGAATGTTTGGCGAATGTTGGGGAGGTTCGTCGCAGGACCCACTGGAAAAGGTCGCACCTTTGATTTTGCAGCTTTGTTTCCATCCTTTTACTGTTTCTGATTGTATATTCGCACGTAGATACCTTTCTTTACACCAGAAAGCAGCGATGAAAGAATGGAAACAAAGCTGCAAAATCAAAGGTGCGGCCGTTGCCCTGTGGGTCCTGCGACGAACTTCCCCAACATTTCCCCATCCCCGTCCCCTCACCTAATATTCAGCATATGGCCCCAAATGCTGTGGTCAAACGCAGTACGTCTAAACCCAGAGATGAAACCATAGCTTCGGATTTTCCCTGAGATTTCAAAGTTGAGGTTTTCTGCTGGCCCATCCACGACATACTCTATATGGACCGTGGTTCACCGATCTGAATAAGTTCTTATAAGAAGTGCGAACTAGGAGTCGATCCGCTCAATAAGTACTAGATATGAGCTAGTATGCATCTGATGTTAAGATAGCTCCGTTGGGAAGCAAATCGACTTCGTTGGCATGAAGTGAAGATGTTCCTTAGCTCGAAATACTCGATGAACCGCCCACAAGAGACCCATTGACAACAAAGGATAGGTAGCGTTCATTGTGTAGTACGAAAAATCAGCATCCACGAAGGTCCCAGGCAGCACCCAGTAAAGTCCCTTAAACCTTAATGTGATCTCCAAGACTATTTTAAGGATTCATAGCAGGTATCACTTGAGCTCAAGGCAAAATCATATTGAATGATTGTGTAATCCCACTATCAATATAGAAGTTAGGAAGCGACGGATACGGAAGTAAGCAAAGAAAGAAATCGTGGAATACGAGTGCTTTCTTGCTCTCGTCTGCGACATAAGACTAGGCGGCAGCACGGTGATGCGAGAATAGGTGACTCGCGGAAAGGGTAGAATTGTGAGTAGAGAAAACATAGCAGACCAACATTTCGACAAACATAAGATTTCGACGGTGGGCCAAGCCTGACAGTTTTCATGAAAATTGATTATTTGACTAAAGCCCTTAGGTGGATGTCAAAACTTGGCGATTACTCTATCGCAACGGCACTCTGGCCGTTTGCTACACTATGGCCAAGTGGGGCGTGTCGTTACTGACCCGTATGGTTTAAGTTGGGAACACTGCCACTGCTAAGGTTTAGTTCACTAGGACAGAAACGACTATTTCGCGTTTCGCAGCGCGGAACTTTTTTCGCTGCGGGATCCTCAAGTCCCGACTCCTGGGCGGTATTCAATCCTTCCCCAGGGGATATATATCCCCCTCTCTGATTCAATCCTCTGGGGGGACAAAAAAGGGTTGCGTCATAGGACCTAGCATACCTCTGTGTTTCTACCTGCCAGACAGTTAGAGCAGCGCTACTACCCTCCACTGATGAAGCACTCTTTCCCCTGAGGGGTCGCGCTGCTCTAACTATCTGCACGCATGGCGGAACACAGAAGGTATCTGAATCCTATAACGCAATCCTTTTTTTGCCCCTCCTCCAACGATGCATGAAATCAGAGAGTGGATACTCCGGTGTGGGTACTTAGGACAGAACGCGACTTTTTCGCTCTTCGCAACGCGACATCGCGCGGCAGGCTGGCGCACCCGCAGCGAAAACAACTACGGTATGGAAGAACGCGCGATTGGAGCACGATATTTGTGTCGGCTTTGATTGCGACAAGGAGTTTGAAGCTTAATAGCCATGGATTTGATAATGAACGAGGAAATGGTAACCAGAAGTGGACCGCTAACTAGCAGTGAAGAGAGGAGGTAGGTTATTTTTTGCAGAGGATGGATGGTAGACCCTGGAAGAGGAGTGGTTGATGGACGTTCGATGAGACTCACGACAAAGGATCAGTTCGTCAGAGTTTGCTATGATATATAGAGTATTACCTAGGCCGATGAGTGTGTAATTACCTCGTTCACCAATAATTTGAAGTGTTCTAGAATTCTAGAATACCACTTTAACGGCATCGCTCGGAATCGTGTAATTCACAAAACATTTCCATTGATGAGAGAGAATTGGTGATTCACCGCATGTCTCAATACAATGAGTGTGAGCGTGGGCAAGCAATAAATCAGAAACTTACAAATTCACGCATGCAAAAAAGCTGCTCCAATCGCGCGTTCTTCCATACCGTAGCTTTTTTCGCTGCGGGAGCGCCAGCCTGCCGCGCGATGTCGCGTTGCGAAGAGCGAAAAAGTCGCGTTCTGTCCTAAGTACCCACACCCGTACATCCCCTGGGGGAAGGATTGAATACCGCCCACGATCAGTGGTGGACCTAAGGTTCCCGCAGCGAAAAAGTTTTGGCGAAAAGCCGCTTTCTGTCCTAGTGAACCACACCCCCACTGTCGCTGTCGCGTATGCACAATCGCCGAGTCTGACATCCCTCAGCGCCTAGCTTCTTAGAAGAAGGCGCGACCTCGCAGTGGCAGATCACATAGTACCTCTTTCTATAGGAGCGACTACTTCAGTGGAGCCGAGCCCAGACCTTGCAATGAAAAATCAGAAGATTTATGTCATAAAAGCTCACATTCGTGGATTCGGGATAGAAGGCTGCGACTGTCCGAATTGTGAAAATTGTGCTGTGTGTTGATAAGGAGTACTGCCGAATGCCTGAGGAAACCCCACTTTCTGGGGTATAACATTGGATGGGTTAGCCATCCAATAATGCGAGTCACGCCTGAAAAACTGGATTAATCGGTTATGGCAGAGGAGGAAACGATGCTCACAATGCGACGATGGTATAACTGAAAATGAAGAGGACACACAGCTGCTTCAGTAGAATGAAACTCTCGCCAAATTTTCAAAAAATAAACTAGAAGAGTAAGCCGAAGGAAAACAGTCCAATAAAACGTGCTTAGTCACCACATTCAAGGCGAGTGGCGGTACGGAGGATACTCGGGAATGGGAGAGATTTCTCTCCAGCTTCGCTATGACTACAAATCAACGAATTCCTGTTGATGATTTCATGCCGGTCGCGACAGCAATCCTTCCATGACACCGTTGCGAAGGAAACCGTGAATACCGTATACTTAGATACGCAGTCACCGCAACGCGGCCGCGCGCGACCCCGAGGCTCTCGCAAATGTGGTCGGTCATCTTTTTAAACTAAAGCATGATTGTTTTGTTTATCACACGGTTTTATCGACAAAACATATCTCTGATCTACAGCTAAGTTTGCAGCCTGATAGAGCCTTTATTAGTTTTTCAGTTATCTTTGCTCTGTATTGCATCATGTTGAGCTCAAAACGAAATTGTATCCATTCTATCTAGTGGTACACGTAGATTCAGAACCAGTTTTATCGGGTCCATTAACCCCATTGAATCAATTTTTTCTTCATCTTCTTTTTTTGCTGTCAGTTTATGTAGTCGCTTATTTCATATCACCCCACTTTCTTGCTTCAGCTACCTCATTTTTCTATGAAATGTTTCAGACTATGCAAAACGGGGAATTAAACGGAAGTGGAGAATATAAGGACAAACAGGGAGGGGGTGCGGGACTTCCTCTGACAAAAGTTGAAAACAATGATGGGAAGAAAGTATTAACTAATGGCATGAGCAGAGTTCATCGGATTTTATCCGAGGATGAAATAAATCAAGGAAAGACGACACGTTGGACTGAGCTCGAAATTCACGGTAATTTTTCATCTTACATTCACTGTTTTTCCATATGTTCCCCTATTTTGTGCTCTAAAACCACTACCACTTAAACTATTTTGCCCTTAACTCAGCATTCTATTGTTCTTCCAATATATGACCTTTATCAGAACCTGGCTCTTATCATGGTGGCCCTGAAGTTTCATAACGTGTACAGTAGGCTGTCTTGTAATGCTACCATATCACAATGTCCAGAATGAATTGTCTCCAACTCGGATTCATTTTCAGAGCTCAAGACATACTGTGACATTCCTAAGGGTGAGGTCATATTTTGTGGTGCCTTGCACTTCGTTTGCAGTTCGACTGTGGAGTAGGTACGTATGCTAATGCGACCACACGACGCGTGCGCAATTACTCCACATCCGAATTGCAAAAGGTCGCAAACTATGAACACACCATAAGCTATTCAAGCCCAAAATTTTGTTAGAGCTCGGCTGAAGTCTTTGAACTAAATCTAACACTTGCTCTACTCTTTTCTATGTACGTCTGCTCTCGCCGCTACGCCTAAGAGTTATAAGCTTGGAATTATTATGTCTTGTAAAGTTTTGTGTCGGTTGTGTGGTTCTGCGGTGACTATGCAACTGAAATCGGTATGCAGGATGTGTGAACAAACGCTTTTCCTGGACCTTACAAGAAAACCACTGTGCTTCATCGCCAGCTTAAACTTTTTATGTGGGTTTCTGCTTCCCTCAACTTCGAGCTAGTGCGGGCCCATCCGAGTGATCATTTTGTACTCCTACTGACTAGTATAGGGCGCCATTCGTTGCGGGACCCACTGCCTTAACCCGCGGGGATCCCATGTGATCGCGGTTGAATTCGAACATTCCAGCTTCTCACGCATGTCAAGTGTCTGCCCTCACCCCCCACCCCCCTAGACTGGCGACACTGCCCCTGGCTCACGGATTCCCCGCTCCACATTGAAGGGTTCACTGTAGCAGGAGGCAGTGGGACCCGTAACGAATGGCGTCCTTTACTAGTCAGAAGGAGTACAAAACGATGCGTTCCGCCTCAATGGTACTGGTGAAATATTTAAGTTGAGCACGAATTATCCGCCGTTTTCCCAAGCTGATGGCTTTTTAATTTTTCCTGATTATTTCCAAAGATTGCGATGTCTTCTGGAAGCGCGCAATCCCTTGTGCGTTTTGATGTACAACATTTGTATAATGTATGCTATACGAAGTTACACGGCGAGCAAAAGAAAGATTGCTCAGGCTACATGAGTGCATGTTGAGCTCGAAAGTGAATTGTTCTGCATCTGCTTGTAGAATCAATGAAGCCTGGGGTGAAAGCATGATTGCAGAAAAGACTGTTCGAGAACCTTTGTTGTTGCCTTGTTATTGTTGTTTGTTTTGGTGTTTTTTACAATAAACTTAGTGATGAAATCAAACGGCGGGTTTATTTTTTGCTCATACTCTAATACTTAGGACAGCATAGCATCTATTTATGAGTATTGCTTTCGGTGGGTGATATCAAATGCTTATGAATTGGACATGATGCAAATTGTTAGTTCACAATTGATTTGTTCCTTCTTTGCTGGGTCAACCTCTTCAGCTCATCACTTTGCCCTTGTGATGGATTCTAGTAAGGCTGATGTCAGAGTCCGCGATCCGTCGCAGGTTTCGCTGATTTTCGCGATTTTGCGCGATTCACGCGACGGGTCACGGAAATCACAAGTGCCCGATCAATACTGCAAGGTGTTCTCCAATCCTGCCGCCACTTCTGCTTGATAGTGATGGCTGAATGACGACTGCTCATGATTCCACTTGTTTCATATTCAGTGTTTCAAATGTTCACACACTTGCAATTTTTGCGATCCGTCGCGTGAATCGCGCAAATCGCGAAAATCAGCGAAACCTGCGACGGATCGCGGACTCTGACACCAGCCTAAGTAATGTCATCATGCAGCTGATGCCTGGACACAGCGGAACTTGGCTCGAAGGAAGCTTATGGCACCACTTCACTTGAGTACCATTCCAGATATTAGTTTTTTTTCTTTGCTCAGCGTTATTGCGGTAACCTTCCTTTGCCTCTTTTGTTGTAAACAGCTTTCCATTTGGGACTTTGACCAAATTCGCGGTAAGGAAAGAAATTGAAATTTCAAAAATTTTGGAAATGAGTGGATCGACCAAAGTTGAATCTCGAGTAATGTGAACGGTTTAACACGTTGACGACATCGCGTGTTTTGGCATTTTGCACCGCGTGGGACAGGAGCGATTTTGCGAGCGCGCCGTCCTCACCTTACTTCCGCTTATTTTTTGTTTAAAATGCACAACAACTTGAATCTCATAGAATTATTTCGGCAAGGATGAAAGCATAAAGGTTAACTATATAAATAGCAGTAGATTTTTGTTTAGAAGAACGCATAATGACCACGAAGAAGCAAAAAACATCACTTTCGCTGCGAATGAAGTTAAAAGCATTTATACCTAAGTTCTTCCATCAAATACAAATATCTTGAAACTCACAGAGTTTTGTATTAACTGCTTCTACAATCTTTCATGAATGTTTACGACAGTGAAAGGAATACTAGGAAAGAATTGAAATGAAAGTTTTGCGTTCAGAAAATCTTTGCTAAATCAAGGGATATTTGACCACTCTGGCTGCCATGTGGTTTATAGTTATGCTAATGTATTATCTATAGAATGAATACAAAAAACTCGAGAAGAAGGAGCGCAAGCACAATAAAAATGAATGACATAGTTCTGACGCGCATGCGCGTCAGAATGTCCGATGCGGTGCAAAATTCTTGACGCGCATGCGCGTCAGCTGTCGTCAACGTGTTAATGGGAGGATCAAGCGTGGCGTCAAGGAAAATTTTTGAATGCGCAGTACCAGGTGAAGGTTGTGCATACCGCTCCCGCAGCCGAGTGAGGTTCGCTATCTACCAATCTTTCTGCTTAAGTATGTCAAATGAGAAAATATTATTGCTGTTGCATTGCGTCATTGAATAATGCTTATAATGGGATGCATTATAAGCTCTAGCAAAGTAGAAGTAGTGGAAAATTGCGGTCATTTTCAAACTCCCATATCCTTCTTCGGAAAGACGTATACAAATTCTGAAATATGTCTTTAAACATTCTCGACTCTCTGAAAAGTCTAAATATGATCACAATGAGAGACGAATCCCACCGTGAATTAATGAGGCAAATTTTTTAAAGTGTGGGTGTGTACAATCTCAGCTGTAATCTCCTCGGATAGCTTTTATCATTTACCCAGAGAAAGAGTAGGCGTTGTAAAATAAAGTGTGCTCTTTTATTTTATCATTCAACCATGATAACAAGAATATCAAAAGTAACCTCGTTGAGGATTTCTGCTCGAGTAGCCTAGGGGAGTATTTTTTTGTCGCGCTGTCGCACTTTCAACAGCCACAGCTTTTTTCACACATGCATATAAAACTTGTACAAAAACTAAAGCAGAATTGGAATCCACACGCAATCTTTTGAATTGAGCGCAAACATCCATTTTAATGTTCCGTATCAAAAAATATGTGTTCGTAAAGTTAAGGCAGAATACCATCTTTCGTCCTGAACAGTGTAATCCTTCATGCCGTTTTACACGAACCTTTCTGGAAGCTTGTTTTGTTTGTAACTGCTGTTTTTGGCCGCAGTTCGCCTTTCACAAGAATGCTGGGTTGGAGCAAAACTTTCGCCCAGACGGGACTCGAA